GTTGTATAAGGAAATAATACAATAAACAGAGTGTGCCTCCTAAAGATGTCTTCTCGTCCTTACAACACTACAAAATCAAACAGGAGAATTTAGCGAAACACAACCACGCTCAGACATCGGACCTTTAAACTGTGTGCGAGCAAACAAGGTGTCCTGACAAATAAATTAGCATAAAAATTAGCATTTGATTGGCGGATTTTAGGAAAGAGGTAAACCACTTCCCAATGTGGTATCGACTGCAAACTTTTGTATACTTATGTCATACTGATGACAATACTATATTCTATCATGAAAAATGTTTAACAAATATTTTTAAACCATCTTTTTTACATGTTATGTTTTACATGTTATCACCACGGTCCCCCTACGTTATGGCAAGCCTCGGGGCCACTTCCTGGAGTCGTGGAGTTTTGCCATTACGAGCACGGTACATTTCATTAAAGCGTGTTTTAAAACAAAAGTATCTTTAAATATTACTTTTAGAGCCTAGTCTCAAGCAGCGTGAGACCCAGAGGACAACGCCAGAAGGCGACCAGCACAAGGACAATGCCACTATCAGGACATTGAGAGCTCGGGGTGAGCTGCTACATCATGGGACCTCCCCTGCCAGTACCAAAATATAAGAATTGGGGTTTTACCCTTTCTGCCAGTGAAACCTATTGTGTTTTGACACTGGCAAAGGGAGATTCCATGATGAATTCTCGCAAGCTCGTCTCTAGGGGTTTTTTGTGACATCAATCACAAGTTTAACACATGTGTAGTGCCATGGAAGGAGTCACTATGGCGCAGAGCGCTGGTTGCTAGCAGAGAAGGAGGTCTGGGGTTACAGCAGCCCTGTCTGCCAGCAGGTCATGGGCCAGAGAGAGGCATGTGAGGCAAGGCGATAGAGGGGGCACATGAGGTAAAGCCCGGGAACATTCTAGTAGATTCTAGAAGGGGGGCGTAGCCGAAGGCAGAGCAAAGTCATGCTGGGTGGATAAAAGGGGACCCCGAGCGAAGGTTCGGGGCTAATGTTTGGAGTGGAATCCCGTCGTGCTGCTGGAGTCTCCGTCACCATCTTCACCTCCTCGGCGTTGTTAAGTCAGGCAGCCTGTCTGCTGTCTTGACCCTAATCTAGTTACCTCTTGAACCTGTGAAGGCTGCAATGAATAGAGTGCCTCCTACTAATAGTGTCTCTGAGTGATACACTACACATAGGAGGCTTTTGCGACTAATATCATCCACAACACAGGTATTTTTTTGCTTGGTTCGATGGCGTGAATATATAAATGCTGCATCGGTAAACCCGCTACCGCCCGACACAGCCAATCGGTCGGGGGTTCGTCACGAGCGTAACGACTCAACGACCAGTCGTACGACGGGGACACTTTTAATAATGGGGTTTTTCCCCTTTTTTCTGGCAACAAAACTGAAACCTTTTTTACAAGGAATCATGTCTGCATTAGCCACAATACTTGTTTCTAGATTTGAAGCTTTCGTGACTGCAAGGATTTATACTCTATGGGAGGGGGGGGGGGGGTTTCGGTAAAGTCACGTAGGTAAAAAATAAATAAAATAAATGAAAACTCAATTAAATCACGACGTTTCGGGCGCAACACAGGCGTCCTTCTTCAGGTGGGGACAACGTAGCGAAAGCACAAACGCTTAAAGTGTGTCTCAGAGATGGCTGTGACGAGGGATTATATAGTCACGGGGCATGGAGGAGGGGGGGGGGGCATGGTGAGTGGGGGGGCGGGGTGTGGGCTGGGAGGTAAAGTTGGGAATCCGAGGGTGCACTGGGAGGCAACTGGTGGCGCCGAGACTGAGGCTTTGTGATGTAGATGGCGGAAGTAGATTAGCAAGCGAAGATTAAGCCGCCTTTTGTTATGCTGCTGGGTGGGTAAGTTGGAAATGCGCAGACTAGCAACGTAAGGAGTTCAAACTGAAATGTGCAAGCTCTAAAAAACAACTTGTGGTACACACAAACATGGCGATGGTAGTGTGTAAAACTGGGGGTAACAGACTGGGAATATGGGTATGTTTATGGAAATCAATCTAAACCGGCTGTCTAGCAGTAAACTGCCCGGTAGCTAAAGTTTGACTTGGTTAATTGCATCTTTCCAATGGTTGCTCAATTTGAATCCATCATCTCGGTTGAAGTTATGTCTATGTTTGTATATCTGGATGGCTTCATGGACAAATCTTTTTTAGTATCCAGGGGGCTTGCAGAGCACCTTGGTATCGGAGAACAATGTCATGAGAACCAGCAGCATTATAACAGTGGTGGGCCACGGCCGAAGAATCCGTTCTGCCATGTTTCAGATCCAACTTGTGCTCGCGAATGCGATCAGAAATATGTCGTTTCGTTTCCCCGATGTAACAATCCCCACAGGTGCAACTCAGTTTATAGACACCAGGGTACTGTAAGTCAGGAAGGACATCCTTTACAGATGGGATCAGGTCACAATACTTGTGGCCAAAATGCAAACAAAACACACACTGATAATATATGCATTGTCCTTGTGGGTGAGTGAGTGAGTGAGAGTGTTGGTGAGTTACACACTGGCTAGGAGATGTTAACTACCTCGCCTGGTGTGCAGGAGGTCGTGGGTTCGATACTAACCCTGATGGTGCCTGCTGCTGTATATTTGGAGTCTGCGTGACTCTCTCTCCCCGTGATCGCGTGGATTTTTTTCCGGGTCCTCTGGTTTCAGAATCAACGTCACGTGTTCAGAGTGCTTGGCCGCTCCTATACATTTCCACGTGGTGATGATGATATCAGCAACTTGGTTGAGCAGCTATCACTACGTGGGATTAGCCAAGTGGTTGCTTCAGAGAAGGAGCTACACAATGGGGCTTTACACCTCGTAACATCAAAATGGTTTAGTTTCAGTATGGGTTTCTTGCATATGGGTCTCTGTGAGCCTCTATGTAAATGGATGTCTGGGGCCGTCCATAAATGACGTCACGCGATTTTGGTCGATTTTTGACCCCCCTCCCCCCTTGTCACACGGCGTCACGAAAAGTCAGACCCCCCCCCTCAAATATGACGTCACAAAGCTCTCCCCCCCCTCCCAAACCATATTTCCACTTTTAAATAAAACATGCTTCAAATCAATTTCAACTATCGTCATTGTAGTGCGTATTTAATGTGGCGCTGCACTCTGATGTTGTAGGAGAAAACATTTATTAAAAAGGAGGCGTTGAAAAGCTGAAATGTTAGCATACAATTCACTTGAAAATATTCAACGTCTAACTAAAACTGCAGATGTTCACAATATCATATTGAAATTCTCTTATAGTTATCAAATATGAAAAGTAATTATTATACAATCACATATTCATTCCACAGAATGAAAAGCCCTGGTAGAATCAAAATGTTAAATAGGAATCATTCCAAAAAAAATCAAAATGTATGCTTCTTCATTCTCCCATGGAGAAGCAAAATGCTCCTTCATGAAATAAATAGGGAGAGCATGAATCTCTTCATCCGACGTAATCCGCCACTGTTGGAAAATTATCGACAATCAACTGTGACCAAATTTCGGCTAGTGTGTTTCCTGCAAAAACTTAAAATTCTTCTTCTCTAAGTCAGCGTCGATGGTAATACCTCTTTCGTTCAAATGACTACCGTAGTGGTCATGTGGTAACATCAATCCAGGAGGTTCCTTACTGAGTGGCGCCATTTTTCTCTCGACCCTATGAAATGCGCTGTTGCACTCCGGTTGTTGTTTTGAGTTTCATTTATTTGGTATAGCCCTGTGAGCCATTCGGCTCTTGAATCGGGTGCAACCGCAACAAACAAAAAAACTAAAACGTGAACAAGAAAACATCTGAAAGTGACTTTGTCACTTTGCGTAAACAGAAAATCCAAGAAAAGACAGCTAAATATTTCAGAAAAAGCACCGTACACCAACGCTGTGCAAAAATCCCAGTGGGATGCAAATCAAATAACGACAACCACAAGACAACTTAGATTAAGGCCATCAGTCTAACTCCGTACTACAACAAACAAACATGGGCAAACCAAAAAAAACTTTTCGAAATCACCAAAATAAAGCCATAAAAGCAATGTAACAGTGATCATAGGGACTGTCGAATTTTCACAATAAACTACATTAATAACATGTACCACCAAACCCTGCAGCCATAGCTGGCTGCATGAGTCACTCCACAACATCAGGAGCATCAGTCGGAGTATCAAAAATTATTCAATGCACCTTTAAGATCAGCACACTAAATCAAAATACAGTTAATACTTTGCAGCGGTCAACCGCAGCAAAACATTTTATTGTATTTTAGGCCACTGAATAGCAGTGGCAGCTAGGGGTGTACAACTCCTCTAGAGCAGTTTTGAGTGAAGATCTCATTGGTAGCGATTCAAGTTGCAGTTTATTGGCAATAGCATTTCAGACCCTGGGGGCATCAATCGCAAAGGCCCTTCCTCCAGTATTTGTACGGCAATAGGGGAATGTGAAGCTGGTAAATGAGCGAAGACCTTAGGTCAATTTTGTTCCTTGAAACAGTACATCGTGAATAAATAAGATCTGGTGCACAAGCCGTCGAACATTAAGAGATGTTACGTTTGACCCAATGTGTTGTCGTAACGTTCTGAGCGCCGTGCACTCCACAGCTCATTGGATTTCTCCTCAAGCCATCGACACAATATACATTCTGATGATTCTGAAGGGGAAATGAAAAGCTATATGCTTAGTTTTTTCGGTAAAGTCACGTTGAAGGGAAACAACAAAATAATAAAATATATATAAAACAATAAAACATTCTCACGACGTTTCGACCATAACTCAAACGGTCGTCTTCAGGTGACGACTACCGTTTGAGTTATGGTCGAAACGTCGTGAGAATTTTTTATTGTTTTATATATATTTTATTATTTTGTTGTTTCCCTTCAACGTGACTTTATCGAAAAAACTAAGAATATGAATTTCTGCAGTCACGAAAGCTTTAAATCAAAATGAAATGAAAAGCTGTTAGGGCCATGACTCAGCCCGCCAGATGGCGCTGCGTCACCCCGAATCGCAGTGGTCATGATGGGTGTGGTATTGGGGAGGTCACGTTGCTCAAGGGGAACTACATGAGCCACGTCTACGCAGGTACATTTCCTTTCGCTTGTGCGGTGGTCGACCCATCCACCGCCATCCACCGATGATGAAGTCGAGGTTGATGGCCTCGCGACTCTAAAGGAATTGACGACGATGACCCAAGTGCTGCATTGGATCGTTGCACTTCTAATCGTGGCATTCGGGGTGAGTCCTCTTGTGAGTGAGTCTCATGTGTGTGAGTCTATGGGTCTCTGTGTGTCTCTATGTGTGAGTGTCCAGGTGTTTGTGTGTCGGTGTGAGTCTGTGGGTCTGTGAGTCTCTGTGTCAGTCTGTGGGTTCTGTGTGTCTCTGTGTGAGTCTGTGAGTCTTTGGTGTGTCTGTGGGTCTCTGGGTGATGAGTCTATGGATCATCATCGTTTGCAGCTGGGTTTGGGTGTGCCTCTGTGTGTGAGTCTCTGTGTGTGTAAGTCTCTGTGTATGAGTCTCTGTGTGAATCTCTGTGTGGAAGAGTACGTCTCTGTGTGTGTGAGTGAGTCTGTGCGTGAGTCTCTGTCAAAGTGAGTCTCTGTGTGAGTATCTGTGTGTGTAAGTCTCTGTGTGTGAGCGTGAGTCTCTGTGAGTGTGAGTCTCTCTGTGTGTGAGGGTGAGTATCTGTGTGAGTCGCTGTGTGTTAGAGTATGTCTCTGTGTTAGTGAGTCTCGGTGTGGGTGTATGTGAGTGAGTCTGTGTGTGTGAGTCTCTCTGTGTGTCAGAGTAAGTATCTTTGTGTGTAAGTTTCTGTGTCTCTGAGTCTCTATGTGTGTGTGTCTCTGTGTGAGTGTCTGTGTCACTCTGTGTGAGAGTGAATCTGTGTGTGTGTGAGCGAGTCTGTCTGTGTGTGCATCTCTGTGTGAGGGTGAGTCTCTCTGTGTGAGTCTCTTTGTGTGTGTGAGAGTCTCTGTGTGTGAGAGTAAGTCTGTGTATGTGAATCTCGGTGTGTGTGTGTGAGTGAGTCTGTGTGTGAGTAAGTCTCTATCTGTGTGAGTCTCTTTGTACGTGAGAGTCTCTGTGTGTGTATGAGTCTCTGTGAGCGAGTCTCTTTGTGTGTGTGTGAGTCTCTTTGTGTGAGAGTGATTCTCTGTGTGAGTCTTGAGGTCTCTGTGTGTGAGTCTATGGATCTCTGTGTCTCTGTGTAAGTCTGTGGGTATCTGTGGTCAGTGTAAGTGTATATGTCAGTATGTGGGTTCTGTGTGTCTTTGTGTGTGTCTGTGTGAGTCAGTGGGTCTTTGTGCGATTCTGAGGGTATCTGTGTGAGTGTGTGGTTATCTGTGTGAGTCTGTGGGTCTTTTGTGTCTCGGTGGGTCTCTGTATGAGTTCCTGTGTGACGAGTCTATGGGTCATCATCGCTTTCTCTTTTGATTGGCATCGCCCCCCACTCTGGATGTCGAGGGTAAATGGGGGAGGTTTAGGACTGTGACTCATGCAGCTGCAATGGCTGCTTTGGGTACGCGGTCCAGACCTCTCCAGAGACCCTGGCTGACAGAGGAGGTGTTCAGGATGGTTGAGAAAAAGCGACAGGCGCACTCCCATCCAAAAAGTAGTTTGCAGCTTCACACCTATAACCATCGTTAGGGGAAAGAATTGTGATCCAAAATCTGACCCGCAGGAATAGGTTTGAAGATTTTCTGAGCATTTCTGTGAGGTCTTGGGGGAGGGGAAATCCCTTAGACAGGACATCATCATGGGGGCAAAGTAGGGATGACCCTGCTGAGGCTGCGGTGCCTCAAATATTAGAAGAAGTGGTCACCCCTTTGAGTGGCTGGCTGAGGTGCCATCAGTTGAGGAAGTACGGAAGGAAATCCAGAGTTTGATATCTGGAAAAGTGGCGGGCAGAGATGATCTCCCAAATGAAATGCTGAGGGCGGGTGGCGTGTCTGTGAAAACTGTACTATATGACGTTAAATAATGGGTTCCGCAGGAATGGAAGGATGCCCTGGTCGTCCTCCTCTTTAAGAAGGGGGACCGTACAGACTTTAACAACTACAGGGGCATCTCCCTCCTCAGTGTGCCGGGAAAGGTCCTGGCAAGGATTATTCAACATCACCTTGCCAGGCACGCTGAGGAGAGGCTTGCGGAGCCCCAATGTGGTTTCAAGAAAAAAGGACGGTCCTATACAGATGCCATAATTTCTGTCCGTCTGCTATATCAGAGATGTAGAGAATTCCAACAAGACCTACATCTCTGCTTTATTGACCTGGTCAAGGCCTAATGATACCATCAGTTGGCCTGGGCTCTGGGTTGTTCTTCATGCTTTCGGAGTCCCTGATGGTGGGCAGGCCCAGGTAAAGCTACGTGGCCAGGAGTCGGAGCCATTCCCTATTCACCTTGGGGTGCGACGGGGATATCCTCTGGCACCTACATTATTTTACATATTTTTCAACCACGTAATTCTAGAAGCTTTCCATGGCTGTACCGGAGGAATTTCCATCTGGTACAGATACAATGGGAGGCTGATGGATGCTCGGGTGCCATTAATGGATGGCTCCCTATTGGTCAACCATGTTATGTATGCTGATGATCTCGTGATTGCTGCTCACTCTGAGGAGTTGGAGGCGCTGATGCTGAACCTGGAGCATGCCAGGTTCAGCAGATGGGGTCTTACCGTCAGACCCACCTGCCTGGATATTTTGTGCCATCAGACACTCCGCCCCCTCAGCTTCCCATTGATGGTGTAGTGTAGAGAGGGAAGAGGTTTCTATACCTGGGCAGTGTGCTTATGACCAGCTCTGGTTTGGCAGCAGAGATCCCACTCCAAATCAGTCGAGCAGCATTATATTATTCTTCGACTGCGTAATGCTGTGTGGAGGCTACCTGGTCTATTGCTCCACACGAAGCTTTGGGTCTTCTCGGCCACAATTATGTCCTTCCTACTCTATGCTTGTGAAACGTGGACCCCCTGCAGGCTGGATTGTGTGAGCTCACAAATCCTTGAAAGATCTGGACAAAATCCCATCATTGAGCTCTTCCGGCAGGCAAGGCCGTGTTCGCCGAGTCATATAGCCCACATGCCCAGCCACCGCATGCCGTAACAGCTTTTGTTCGGCCGGATAGAGGGAGCTAAATGGGCGCAGCACGAGATGGATTGATGTGGTACAAGAGGATGTGGAGCAGAGTGCACTTGCCGATGACTGGTACCAGCGATTTCAAGATCAGCCTCTGTGGAGGAGGCTCGTGAAGGCTGCTGCCTGGGCATTTGGAGGGAGTCACCCTCAAGCAACAACGGAGGGCAGAGGAGCGATGCTCACAACAACGAACGGAGCAACACGCAGCTAAAACACAGCAAGTTGGCACAATAGGGGGTACAGGTGATGCTTTGGCCAGTCATCTCAGCCAGTCAATCCATGGCACCTGCAGAGTCTGTCCCGTGACCTGCCAGCGGGCGTTTGACATTTCATGTGGCTTTAAAGTTCTCATAGCCTGGTACAAGCGCCGTGGTGACACCACCGCCACTTAATGGCAGATGGCTGTTGTTGCTGTCTCTGTGTCTGTGGGTCTCTGTGCGAGTCTATGGGTCTCTGTGTGAGTCTATGGGTCTCTTTGTCAGTGTTTGGGGTCTGTGTGAGTCTGCAGGTCTCTGTGTCTGTGGGGTCTCTGTGGATCATGAGTTTAGAGTTATTTGGCTGCTGTTATTAAATTTCGAGATGGCAATGATGGTGATGATGAAGATATAAGTCACTTCGTTGAGCTTTCATTTGTGATTGCCAAGTCACTTTGGGAAAAATATCTACATACTGTAGCTCAGTAGGCCTTACCTGCTAAAATTAAAAAAAAGCATTTACATAGTTTGGTAGATCTGTTGGCACGATCGCAAGAGGTGAAATTTTATGATTTCTTGTTAAGAAGGCCAAAACTTTTCTGGACTTTTTCAAATAATTCCCCACTTGGGTGGATGGCGCGACGTGGCGTAGGTGGGGGGGGGGGGGGCGGGATCTCCCTCCAATCCACAGTTTTTGAATCATCACAGCCGGCCGCCTCATCATCAGTTTGCCAGTGGACACGCGCCAGACACACCGGCCCACAATTTCAGGCAACGGGGTAATCCTTACTTATTGTTTTCGTTGAATGGGTTTGTTGCGCGATGACAACTGGCGCAGTGCAGGTGAGGTCTCGGAGTACGCGGAACCCGCCCCCCCCCCCCCCCCCGATTCGCACTCAGCACTTTGCCACTGGCTACTTTCACTGCACGCGCACGGGGCGGGAAGCGAGGAGTGGAATCGCACCGCCCGCCACCACGCCAGCGGTGGATTTGAGTGCATGTGACCAAAATAATCTCCGGTGTTCTGTCTGACCTTGATGCTACCGATGATTATTGAATCAGCGGTAGCATTTACTCGACAATGCTGTACTTTATTAAAATGTTATGCACATTTACATACGTTGTATGTGCACAACACTCGTAGTTATATAGTGTGTGTTGGAGAGCAAAGCAACGACATTTACACACCGGTGTGCTGTACTAGTGTCGTGTATCAATATAGACACACTAAGAGTTGGAGGTACATCCATTTATTCCAGTCCATACAGCCACGGGGGATAACTACCCACGGTCCGTACGCTACCCGACCAACAACGTCGAGGAGGTGAAGACGAGGACAACGGCAGCACGATGAGTTCCTTTCCCAGACAACAGCCCCGACTGAGTGTCGGAGCCTCCCTTTTATCCTCCCCGGCATGGCCAGGCTCCGCCTTCGGCCACGCCCCCTCCTGGCTCTCGTCAGAAGGTTCCAAACTCTGCCCCCACGTGTCTCACTGGCAGACCAGGCTGCTGCACACGTAATCCTCCTCTCTCCGAGCATCCCATGCTACGTACTTTAGTGACTATGTCACTTCACTAGTAACGAATTGGCATCTTCTGTTTACGTGACAAAACTTACTAATTGGCTATGTCGGGTGGTGGCGGATTTAATGACACATTTATTTACGCGTTCTAACCCAAACAAACCTCCATTATGAATGATATTAGACCAGATGAAGATTGAGACAACACAACTCCTCTTTATTTTGCCGACGAGCTCACACGCCGCGTGCGACCACTCCACTCCAAATCCCACCAGGAAGCTGCCCCCACAGCCCCGCCTCTTCTGGTGACGTCACCCCTCCCCCCCCCCCCCCCCCCCGAGAGTTCCCAAACTCTCACGCCCCGCCCTCTCTTTCCTTTCGTTCGT